AGGAATCTGTCAGGTTCTGCTCCTGCCCTGCCCTTCAGCTCCCTCTAAGACCAGAGCAATGACAGCACCGATTCTGAGACGCCTCCCACCAATGCCCTTGTGCTGGGACATAGAAACCCCAACCTCTCTTCTCAGGCTCATCCAGCCTACATGCTCCCAGAGTCTGCTAGCGCCCCTGCAAATTCCCAAGGCGGAGGGAGGGACTTTTCACCCTATCCTGGCACCTGGGAACATCTTTGGAACTGGGCTCTGCTTCCATGTCCAGCCTACCCCTTGACCTTCTCCCAGGTCCCTCTGTACTCCTCGAAGGGCCACTGGCTCCCTTTCTTCTTTGCAATCTCCCAAGAATTTTTCCTACTTGTCTAGGTCGAGTGACACCCAGGCCAATAGATGAACAGACAGAAGCCAAAAGATCCTTAAAGAGGTGAGTGAGGAGACAATTGAAGATGGGGAGTATGGAAGTAGACAGAAGCCTAGCATCCTAGCCAAGGGAGCAACTGGGTCCTGGCATTTGGACTGGCCTTTGGTACTCCCTTTGGTGCCACACTTGGGGGATCCCAGAAAGGCCCTAAGGGACTAGTGAGCTGCATAGGCTGTGTTCAGACCTATCCCGAGCTCCTGCCCAGCTGCCTCCTGGGACTGCCTCACCCCCTCCTGTGGCTCCTCCAAGCTTCTGCCTTCCTGGGATTCCCTCCATTTCTACCCTAGCTCCTGGGAGAGATTTTGGAGGCCTGAACCATCAAGGATGGAGAGGGGAAGGAAAGAGGAAGAGAGCAGAGGCAAGGTAGTGCAGTGGGCATAGGGCAGGCTTCTGGGCTCTGGACTCTTGCGCCCACAGGGTTCCCAGCCTTGAGCAAGTCATTTGACTTCCAGCAGCCTCAGCTTCATTTCTTCCTTTTTAAGTTTAAATTTTGTTTAAATTGACTTATTCCTACATTCCTAGGGTTTGAAACTAAAAAAATGAAAAAGAAATTGAGAGAAAAATGTGTCTCTATTTTACCTCTATCTCCCAGAACTGGCTTTCCTTCTTGGTGGCAAACTATGTCATTATTAGGTCATTGGAAAAATCATGACATATTTTTCTCTGTTTTTCTGTGCAAAAGTGCATCATGACTGTGTCAATGACCCAATAGTTGTTCTGCACATCATTTTCCAGAGCTAGTATGTGCATCTTTGAGCAACAGCGATAAGCCTACCCCTTACACATTTTATACATGTACTTCACTTCTTTTCCCCAGCAGTGGATTCATATGGAAAATCATTGCCTGCAGTCCTTTACTGTAGAGGCTGTTTAGCTCATGTCCCAGCTTTTTGGGCTTCAGTTTACTCATCTATAAAATAGGTAATAATAACCCTACTTTGGGGGCCAACAGGCTATGGTGGTTAAGGTGCTAGACTCCCACATGGCTGACCATGGTTTGAGTTTCAGAACTGGCAGCTTGCTTTCTCACTTTCTCTCTCTCTCTCTCTCTCTCTCTCCCTCACTCTCTCTGGTGAGCATGCATGCCCTGTAGCAAATCAAAATAATAATAAAATTGAGTAAATAATTATTTTAAAATAAATGACCCTTGAGACCAGCAGATGGTGTAATGGCCACCTCGCTTGACTCCCACATGGCTGACAATGGTTTGCATCCCAGACCTGGTGGCTTCAAACTCACCCCAGGTGTCTGTGCATGTGTGCCCAAGATCCCAGGAGAATGGGATCTTGAATGGGAAAAGGGATTGTGCTGTGGCCATCCCCCCGGAGGGTGATTTCTGGCTTTCTGTCTCTGTCTCTCTCTCCCCAGTGAGCACACATGCCCCATAGCAAAAATCTCTCTAACAAAAAATATTTTTAAATGACCCTACTTTGTAGGATAGTCATGAAGGATTCAAGAGCAGGCATGTGAAGTGCCTGGATCAAGTGCTCAAAAAGCAAGAGTGGCATGTTGGTTAAGGCTCTGGATTCCCACATGGCTGACGACAGTTCATGTCCCAGACCCAGCAGCCTGAGAATCACATGGGCACATGTGTGTCCAAAGTCCTGAGAGGAGAATGCAGAAGTGATTGTGGCGTGGCCATCTCACCGGAGGGGGGTGATTCCTTGCTTTCCCTCTCTCCGTCTCTATCTCTCTCCAGCCAGGGCTTGAGCCTATGACAAAAACCTGGAAAAAAAAATCACCTGGGAACAGCTTCGGAACTGGGCTCTGCTTCATGGTCCAGCCTACCCTTCACTTCCTCCCAGGTCTTCTGTACCTCCTACAGGGCCACAGGCTCCCTGTCTTGTCTCTGATCCTGGGCCCATACTTGGTTCATCCTCTGGACCCCTCCTAGGTGTCGTCTCCTCCACACACTCTCTCTTCCTCTTTCCTTTCTTCCCGTGGCACTCAGAGCTATGTGCAGTGACTTTGTGTCACGCTGAAAGCTGCCGGGGGCCAAAGCGTGCCTCCTTCCCAGCCTCATGCCTCCCAGAGAAGGTGCTTGCCTGGGCCCCAGGAGCACCTGGAGCGAGTGGGTATGTACTTCTCTCCTCAGGATGAGCGAGAGGGCCGTGTGGAACTGGAGCACGGGCTGGCTGCTGACGCTGTGCCTGGCCTGGCTGTGGGGCCGCCTGGCCTCGGCGTCCTTGCAGCCTCCAACTGCCACAGGTTTGGGGGAGATGGTGGGCCCTGGGGAAGGGAGAGCTGGACACAATCCCAACCCCTATGCCACAGCAGGCAGATTTCCAGGGCAGAATGAAGCCCACAGAGTCTCAGGGGTCTGGCTCCTTCTTTGTCCTTCACCCAGGAAGCTCTGCCCCCTGTGCTGACCCAGCCAGGAGAAGGCCTGGGTAGACCCATTGCTCACCTTCCCTTCCAGGCCGGAAGGTGTTCTGCAGGGAGAGAGGCTCTCGGGTGGATCAGGGCTTAAGTCTAGCCTCCTGGCCTAATTCTGTGGTTTTCCTTCTGGGATGGCTAAAGCCTGTGTAAGCGGATGATCCTCCCCACGCATTGTAAGCCCTGGGGCCCTTGCCCTCACCCTGAGGAAGAGAGGGAGGCGGGGCTGGTGTGGGACTCCATCTTTCTTCTGCCTAAGGGCCAGCCTCTGCCAGGGGTGAGGAACATGCCCTCCCCTCCCCCCAAGAAGGAAGGGGAACTATGTGAAGTGATAGGAAGATTTCATCCGCTTCCCCCTGACCCCACCTTGGACTCCCTTGGTTAGCCCTCTCCCAAGCAGGAAGGAGGGGCTGGAGGACCACCAGTGGGCGGGAGGGAAGGAGCCGACGTCTGGCCGGCTGGCCGCTTGATTTCGGACTGGCCCCTTCAGTCCTTGTGAAGCAGGGCACCTGCGAGGTGATTGCCGCTCACCGCTGCTGCAACCGGAACCGCATAGAGGAGCGCTCCCAGACGGTCAAGTGCTCCTGCCTCTCTGGCCAAGTGGCTGGCACCACGCGGGCAAAGCCCTCCTGCGTGGACGGTGAGTGAGAGGCCAGGGCCAAGATGAGGGGTGGGGAGGGCGCGGCCTGAGTAGAGAGATAAGGAGGTCTGCTCAGGCCTCGCCATCTGCTGGGGATACAATTTCATGCCCATCTCAGTGCTTTGGTGATCGGACACCCCCTGGGAGGACAGAGGGCAGATGTGACCATCCCCATGTCACAGATAAGGACAGCTCTTGTGATGCACACACCCTCCCACCCACACCACCACCTGGTGCTTTCGCAGATGCCGCCCCTCAGTCCCTCACACCGCCAGACTGCTCTGGTCCCACACCTACTCCTCCGGGCCTGGGCTGCTTCCCCTTCGGCTGCTCTCCCAGCTTCATCCCCTTGCCCTCCTCTCGTCTCAGGCCTTTACCCTCCCCTGCCGTGCATGTGTGCCTTCCCTACATGCCTCCCTGCTCATGTGTTCTACACTCACGTGACACCCCTGTAAACAGGCCCACTGTGCTCACATACATGCCAACCTGTGCACCCTCACTTTGGCGACCCTTCCAAGTGGCTTGCACACTTGCTCACGCACACTGGAGGGTCTGTGGAAGATGGTCTCTTCTGTGCCAATGCCATGGACACCTTAGCGACCACTTCGCCTCTCTTTGGGGAGATGCAGGGACCAGTGGGATTAATGTCAATAGGGCATGTCCCAAGGCCTCAGCCTGAGTGCTGGACTGCTGCCCTGGGCAGCCTGGATGAGGGAAAGCTAGAGGGTGCCAGGTTCCCAGACAGGGTGCCTGCAAAAGTGAACCTTATTTACAAATCGCCTATGGACTGCCTGCTGTGCTTGCGTAGCCCTGAGGGCTGCTCCTGCCTCCTGCCCACAGCTGCCATCGTCCTGCAGAGGTGGTGGTGTCAGATGGAGCCCTGCCTGCCGGGGGAGGAGTGTAAGGTGCTCCCGGACCTGTCAGGATGGAGCTGCAGCAGTGGACACAAAGTCAAAACCACCAAGGTACCTGGGCCCAAGTGCCCAGCCCTTCTCTCTCACCTCCCTCTGAGGCAGAAAAGGAGCCCAGGAGCTGGGACCTAGGGTGTCAGTGTCCCAAGGTGAGATCTGTAGACCCTGAGAACGTCCCCTCAGACACGCTGTCCTTACTCTGGAGACCAGAGTTAGAGCCTCTGGATCTGAAATCCAGTGTGTTCTTGGCAAATTCTTGGTGTCCCACAGGCCTTGGTTTCCTTCTGTTTGCCTAGGGTGGGTTTGCCTCTAGAAAATGTCAGGTCTGTAAAAACAAAGTGGAGAATTGAATAAATTATCTAGATTATGCAGACAAGAATCTCTACTTCTAGTCGAAGTCCTGCTACAATAGCCCCTCTGCCCACCCACCTCTGACACAGGCTCCCCCCCATTATTAGCTCCCTTCATTTCATACCTGCCTTTCTTGAGTCAAAACACTGTCTGCTGTGATGACATCCAAGAGAATGGTTTTTCATGGTTTGCTGCCTGCCCCACAGAACAAGGGGTAATTAAAACTTTATCAGGCTTGTCAGCAATGCCATGTATGTCATGGTTAATCAGTTGCATTGCACTGTCATTGCCATTTGTACCCAAGAGTGACACGTGGGGAAAGCCCTGCCTTTTGCTTTCTTCCCCTCACCACACACAGCAAACCAGCAAACAAATGAACAGGGAGGGAAAGGCAGCCTTCAGAGTCCTGAAGAAAGCAACCTTTTTCTTTTTCTTTTTTTTGGAGAGGTTTTTGCTATAGGGCGCATGAACTTGCCAGACAGACAGAGAGAGACAGAGACAAAGCAAGAAATCACCCCTCAGTGGGGATGGCCACACCATAATCCCTTCTCCGACATTCTCCTCTCGGAATCTTGGGCACGCATGCACACACGCCCGGCTTGAGTTTTAAGCCACCGGGTCCGGGACGAAGCGACTTAGCCATTACGCTAACTGCTGGTCCCAAGAAAAGGTTTGACTGTGTATCAAATAGAGCATCCTCTCTGAGGGCAGGGAAGGGAGATAGCCATTCTGAGTATATTTAAAACTAGAAGATTGAGAGACCAGCAGTTGGTATAATGGCTATGTCGCTCGACTCCCATGTAGTCGACCGTGGTTTGAATCCCAGACTCAATGGCTTAAACTCATGCGGGGCCCGTGTGCATGCATGCCCAGGATCCCAAGAGCAGAATGGAGGAGAAGCGATTGTGGCATGGCCATCCCCCCTTGGGGGGATTTCTTGCTTTCTGTCTTTCTGTCTCTGTCTTTTTGGTGAGCACACGTGCTCTGTAGCAAAAAACTCTCAAAAAAAAAAAAAAAAAGCTAGAAGATTGGGATGGCCCTGTAGCACAGTGGTTAAGCACTATGCGTTGGAAGCCAAATCCCACATGGCGGACTGAAGGAAAAAGGATTGCAGTGTCACCACTTGCCACTGGAGGACTCCCTCTGGCAATTAAAAAAAGAAAAAGAGATTGCAGCATGGCCATCCCCCTATGGGGGGCAGTGATTTCTCCCATTCCCTCTCACTGTCTCTCTATGTCTCTCAAAGATTACAAAATACCCACCACAGACCTCATAACATTTGTCATCATGCTATACATGGGGTCTTCAAAAAGTTGATGAAGAAATACACATTATTGAAAAAAGCAGTGTGGATTAAATTTTTTTTTTCTAAGTTTGCTATAGGGTACATGCACTTGCCGAAGAGAGACAGAGAGAGGAAAAGGAAGAAATCACCCCCTGGGGGATGACCACACCGCAATCCCTTCTCCTCCACTCTCCTCTTGGGATTTTTGGGCATGCATGTACAAGCAGCTGGTGTTTTTCAAGCTGCCAGGTCTGGGACTTGAACCATACCATTAGCCATGTGGGACCCAGACACCTTGACCACCATGCCACCAGCTGGCCCCTGGATTTCAAATTTCCTTGCACCAAAATAAACTTATACTTTAAGTCCATTGTTCCACAATCTTTTCAAAGTCTCCTTGCAGGTTTGGGTCTATACCCTGAGAGACTGATCACTGCACTTGCAATTTGAGTAGCCTCTGTGAAGCAGACAGTGGTGAGGCTTGCCTGATTTATGTTCACATGGGCCACCAGGCCTTGCTTTCCCGGTCTAGACTACTTTAGGGCAAGGATGGGCAGTTGTTACCTCTAAGTAACCTGCACATCCTGGAGAGTCCCTGGCATGTTGGAATGGGATAGAAATTCCCTTCTCTAACTTTTCCCCATTGTTTGCTCTCTAGGTCACACGATAATTCTTGGAGGTCATGGCCTGGATAGGACAGGCTTGACCAAGCTGTGGACTGATGGATGGCATCTAGTCATCATCCAGAAAACATGGGAAATCCCTTTCCTGGACACACGGCCCCATGCCAAGTGCAGACTCCATCTTTCCAGGGGCATTTCAAAGAAGCCGCTCAATAGATCTGGATGGGTCTCCAACCACATACCTACTGATCAGCCAGACTCTCCTGGGACACAGAAGGTCAAGGCACGACTCTTGTCCTTAAGGACTGTTCAGTTGAGTTGGGGCGTTGATGACAGCCAATCTAGATCATTTAAATGAAAGTGTATGGTACCAGACAGTAGCTTCTAGGCCACATGCTGTGGACATGGTGTGATTTGAGAGATGAGACTTCCATAGCTTGTCAGCCACTCTCTGATCAGGCAGCACAAAGATAAAAAGTCACACTCACCACCCACCACCTCAGCCTTGATCCCTAGCAAGCTGTTCACATGTTGAACAAAAACACCTTCCTGTTATGCCAGACCAGCGGTGTCTCCTTAGATGGGATTGAGTTGCCTTGGGGAAGGAAAAGAACGATGAAGCCAAGCAACTTTCCAGCAGAACTTTGCAGAGGCATGGCCTGGCTTGGACTATTCGCTGGGTATGGATGGACCCCCATTCAAGCACCAGAGGTTTCTGTTTGGCTGGTTGTTTTCACAGATGAGGAAACTGAGTCCCAGAAAGACGAGGTAACTTGCCCAAGGTCCCACAGCCTGGACAGCCAAATCTGTAAGACTGCTGACCCTCACTAGCATGGATGCTGAGATTCCAACCTGGGCCTTCCATGTTCGTTTTATCTCAAGTTCCAGAACCTGTAGAGTACTAGCTAGGCAGCAGCCAAATTTTTCTCTGGGGATATTAGAGCACAAACTTTTACCTGGTCCCTGTTCTACTATCTGAAATAATCCTGAACACCCCATACCAAGTGGGTGTGAGACCACTTGGTCTCCACTCTCCTTCAGGCCCCCATGGCAGCACAGAGGTTACTTAGCCTGGTTACAGCAGGGGCGCTCTGCAATGAGGCATCCCCATGACCTGCTCTGACCCCTCTCTGCTCAGGTCTGTAGGCTGTTACTCTCAGAAGCTCTGGCTGGTGGAGAGAGTCTGGATGAGGTGTGGGCTGGTTAGGGTCCTCACCCTTCAAAGGCCTCCACTGGGCAGGAGGGGTGGCAGTCTGGAGCCTCTGTCCAGGATCAGGTTCAACAGTCAGCTTCACATCCAAGATGGTTTGGAGATGCTGCAGGCTCCAGGGACCCAGAGGCAGGGACTGCTTGGCTATCTCATCAGTGAGAACTGCAGCATCTGTGACTGCTGGGATCCCGCCAGCCAGGCCCTTAAGGAGAGTGCGTCAGAGAGACCAGCCTAGACCATGCTGGGTTCTGATCCTCAGAGAAGATGGATCAGAGGATGGTTTGGGACTGAGTCTTAGTTCCTCCCTCCCTCCTTTCCTCCCCTTGCAATAGAAACAAGACCATTTGATATTCCCAATTCTTTTTTTAAAAAATATTTTATTTAACTTTATTCATTCATTTACTTATTTCAATTTGACCAGAGAGGGATAGAGAGAGAGAGAGAAAGCTGCCAGGTCTGGGAATTGAACTGCAGTCAGCCATGTGGGAATCCAGCACCCTTAACCACCAAGCCACCTGCCAGCCTTGATATTCCCAATTCTTCACCCACTCCAGTGTATTTTCTTGTGTGTGTTTTTTAATTTTTTAAAGTTTATTTACTTATTTCTTCCATGAGTAAGAGAGACAATAAGAGCCTGCTCTTTCCTGGAGAAAGAGAACGAGAGAGAGGGAGCCAGAGACAACTTCCCCCCCCCCAAAGCCCTCTATGCCCTGATCCTTTCCCCTGACCCCCAGCCTCAGCCAGCCCTGGGATAGCAGGTGCATGTATGTCCAGTGTACTCAGGTAGGTCTCTGGACTCAAACTCAGAACTTTTTCATATAGGTCAGCCTTGCAGGGTTGACATTTTATCATTGTGCCACCATCCAGCCTCCATTGTTTCTGTTTTGTTTTGTGGGGATGATGGGACAGACGGTGATGCAGCCTCTCGCTAGACTGAAAACAGCAGTGAGCTCTGACAACTGAATCTCTGCATGCAGTGGGCTGTAGGGTGGGATAGTCAGAGGTGCACAAAGGCTGCTTTGCCTCTTGAGGGTGGGGGATGACTCTGGGGATGGATTAAGGGGTAGAAAACTTTCTCTGGAAAGGGCCAGAGAGTGAATATTTTAGGCTTTGCAGACCACATACATCTCAGTTTGTGGCACATTCTTCGTTTTTGCTGTTGATGTTTCCTTCTTTTTTTTTTTTTTTTTTTTTTTTTTTAGGTTTTTTTTTTTAGGGCAAAGGGGCACATGGGCTCACCAGAAAGAGAGAAATAGAAAGTAAGAAATCACCCCCCAGGGGGATGGCCATGCCACAATCCTTCTCCTCCATTTTCCTCTCGGGATTTTGGACACGCACACACTTGCACCCAGAGTGAGTTTAAGCCACCAGGCCCAGGACTTGAACTGCAGTCAACTACACGGGAGTCCAGCAACATAGCCATTATGCCAACTGCTGGTCCCACTTCATGTTGTTTTAAATGTGGAGCCAGCAGATGGTGTAATGGTTACGTCACTGAACTCCCACCTAGTTGACAACAGTTTGAGTCCCGGACTCTGCGGCCTAGACTTATGCTGATGATGTGTGCATACCTGCCCAAAATCCTGAGAGGAGAAGGGATTGTAGTGTGGCCATCCCAAAGAGGGCGGGGGTAACTTCTCACTTTCTGTCTCTCTGTCTCTGCCTCTCCAGTGTGCATGCAATCTATAGCAAAGAAATCTCCCTAAAGGAAAAGAAAAACAAAAACACGTTCTAAATGTAAAGACCATTCTCAGCTCAAAGGCTGTACAGAAGCAGACACTGGGCCTTCTCCAGGTTGCTGGCCCTTCTGCAGCTTGGGACAACCTTCCAGCCTTCTAGCCTGCCTTCTATGCAGTGGAACCTGAGCATGAGTACTGGCTCAGGTTTTGTTTTTCTTCTAATGCTCCTTGAGAGAGTGGTGAGTAAATTATTTAGGCTACAAATGAGACAGCTTTCAGAGTCAGACAATAAGAGCCTCTTGTCCCGGGGGCCAAAATGTGGGCTTCTCCACTCCCTCCTACTCTCAATTCTGTGTCCAGGTGGAGGGAGAGGGCTCCAGCCCCCTGACTATTGGCTGTGTCTGTGAGTCACTGGATGATGCTGGGGATGAGCTGGAGGGAGCAGGGATGGTGCTGTGCAGACTCCCAGTGAGCTGCCAACCCCACAAGCCCCTGCCTCTGTCACTCTGGTTCCTGACCTTCCCCGACCTCGCTCACCTCTGCCTTCTGAGAGTCTTCTTTCTTTTGAAACAGGCTGGAATTTGCTAATTCATTTTTAAAAAAATTTTTTTAAATTTTTTATTTTTGGAGAGGTTTTTGCTATAGGGTGCATGCGCTTGCCAGACAGACAGAGAGAGAGAGACAGAAAGCGAGAAATCGCCCCCCCAGGGGGGATGGCCATGCCACAATCCCTTCTCCTCCATTCTCCTCTCGGGATCTTGGGCATGCACGCGCCCGGCGTGAGTTTTAAGCCACCGGGTCCAGGATACGAACCGTGATCAACCACATGGGAGTCCAGCAACATAACCATTACACTAACTGCTGTTCCCAACGCTAATTCATTTTCGAAAACTCTTCAATTCCTCCATTTCCTCCTGACTTATTCATATGTACTTGGTGGACTTTGAGGATACCATTTATATGTCCAGAAAAGCTCCATATAGGATAGTCCAATGGAAGAGGGAAAAGGCCGTACCTCCCAGTGGTGGCTTCCATGGGCCCTGTTTCCAACAAGTTGACATCTGTGTGCATTTCATAGCTATTACCACGTGACAGTTGAGAAATGTAAATTAATTTTTCTGGAGTGTAGCATTCCTAGAATCATTTGTCTTTCTCTTTTTCCCTCAGTGGGTGGGATCTCAGAGTCTGAAGTTAGCTGCTGGAACCCTCAGCTCCTTAGCTGTGAAGGCCTTAGGAAGGTTGCCAACCACAGAGATCAAGAGGCTAATTTCTTTTGGCCCCCTGGCAATTTCATCAAGGTTCCGTGAGTGACATCCTAATTAATGACCCTAGGCAGTTGTCTAGACTTGAGGCGCAGCTTCTTAAATTCTAAGCTTACAGCTAGAAGGAGTTTTAGCGACCAGTCAGCCAGCTCCCTCACCTGACAGATGAGGAAAGGGAGGCTCAGAGAGATTAGATAATTTGTCCCAAGTCACACAGCAGGCTGGTGGCAGGTACTGTCCAGTGATCCAGACAAGTGTCCTTTCCACTACTGCACATCACACCTTACCCCAGTATACATGAGGAACCGGAAAAGAAGCCAGAATTAGCAAAGATAAATGCGACAGAGTCTTGCTCTAAAGTCACCTCACCCTGTGAGTGCAAGGGTTAGATGAAGGAGAATGGGAAGCATTTAGAGATATGCACACACAGAAAGACGGAAGGAGGGATGAAAAGAGAGATCGAGATCACTCATTCAGAAGAACATCGAAACACAAAAGCACAGCACAAAATGAGAACAAGATGGATGTTGCATTGTAACAACTGATTTTCATCCTTTCTGGAGAGACATCATGAAGCCCCTGTCAAGCTTGGGGAGCTCTGGGAAGCCAGTCTTCATGACTTCAGGGGTCTCGGGGCCTGCTGACAGGGGTCTGCAAACTAAAGCCCATAGACCAGATCTAGCCTGCCACCTTTATTTTGCAAATAAAGTTTTATTAGAACATAACTGTGTTTCTTTGTTTAGTATTGTCTATGGCTACTTATGCTTTGCAACACCAGAGTTGAGTCATTGTGAAGAAACCCAGTGACTCACAACGTCTAACATAGTTAGCTGAACCTTTATAGGAAAACTTTGCCAACCTAGTACTTTTATTGGGACTTTCTTGATACACTTCTATGATCTAGAAAATGATAACTCTGCATTGTATTCTTGTGATAGGGATTTTTGTTTGTTTTTGAGGCTGCACCTGTGTCCTTTAATCCGTTACAGTGCCACTTGTGATCTCTGACAACCCAAGAGATGAAGCGATAAAACCTAAGAGGCCAAGAGGAAGGCTTATAGCAGATGGCCGCTTCCCTGTTGTGTTATCATACCCACAACAGCTCCTATTTTCCAAGTTTATGTGACTTCCACTTTTAACCTTGAGGAGAATTGCACGAACTCCCCTGCGTAAAAACATAACTGTGCACGCATGTGTGCTGTGGCATTTCTGTGTGTCTGTGCATTTGAGTATCTATGTCCACAAGCAGGCATGATATTCCAAATACATGAAAACCAGTGTGGGACAGACATTAATCAAAGCGGATGCCAGCCTGAACGCCAGAACGGGTACACTGACTGCATACAGCCTGGCACATAACTCACATAACCGCTCCACCTGCTGAGGCTGAGCTGGGACTCCGGAACAGGGGAGGGCTCTTTGCTCTCTTCCTCCAGTGTTCAGAGCTAGGGTGGTTCCTGATTTCTTGGGGCTTGTGATGTGTCACTGAGTGAGGGCCTGGGCGTGTGCATGGCCATAGCAGCTACTGGACTCAGATGGCTGTAAACACTATATTCATTTTACTTTAAAAAAAATGTTTGGGGGGCTAGCAGATGGCATAGCAGTTATACTGCTAGACTCCCACATGGCCAACCACAGTTTTAGTCTTGAACCTGGTGGCTTGAAATATGCTGGACGTGTGTGTGTGCATGCCCAAAATCTCAAGAGAAGAATTGAGGAGAAGGGATTGTGGTGTAGCCATTTCCCTTGGGGAGTAATTTCTCACTTTCTGTCTCTCTGTGTCTCCAGTGGGCACACATGCCCTATAGCAAAAACCTTTTCAAAAAAGGCTTTTATTTATTTCTATCACGAATACAAAAGAGAAAGAGAGAGAGAGATAGCACCCCACAACAGCCTTGACCTTGTCACAATGATTCACCTCCAGCCTCAGCTAACCCCGGATCATGGGCATGTGTGTGCCCAGTGAACTCAGAGAAGTCTCTGGATGTGAACCAGGAACCTTCCCACGTGAGATTGCCTCAGAGTGAAGCATGATAGCACTGCACCACTGTCTGGCCCCTGTAAAGGTTGTATTTAGAATAAACACGTATACTAGGCATATAGAGAACCAGGAAACTGCCTTTCAGACTGTATTTGAGGTACAAACTCTCCTTCCATCTGGCTTAGAGAAAGAATTCCAACCATTTTCCAAGGCTGGATTGGCCTATAGGCCAGATGATTGGAAGTACACCATTGCTTCTGTTAGTAAATGTCTGCCATGTGTCAAACACCATCTAGGCTCTTTACACAGTTCACAACATATTCAGTAGGACTTTTGCCATTTCACAGTTTGGACACAGGCCTAAAGGCTAGGGGAAAAAAATTGGATATCAACTATTCTCAACTATCCCTTCTTAATCAAGATGCTATGGGGTAACCCTATAGTACAGTGGTTAAGTGCTCTGCTTGGAGAACCAGACCCCACATGGCCAATT